CGTGTGCGCACATACATCATGTTTATCATGTAGTCCAAAGGTTACGGGGACTATTTTACGGAGGGAAGGGGGAGGGGAGGTCTCTCCGGATCCGCCCCTGTGTGGGTCACCAACATCAAGAAATATTATTATGTAAGATAAAGACATACTGGTTGTATATCGAGAATAATGTTACACCTATATCTGACTTAGTGGCAAACATGTCAATAACATACTGTGATAATTCAAAGATGAGTAGGAAGTACAAATTTTCTGCCCGTGGTAGAACTGGAGTATTTTTTTCTACTGGTAGATTGGGGGTAATTTTAACTTAAGGTAGTTTCCTGTATATACAGTATTAGCTCATATACTCGCTTTTAGAATACTATATATATTTTTGTCCTAAGTTCAATTGGAAACATGCCGATATGCGTAAATTGGAAATTGAAATGTGATTGGTCAGTTGAACGGACGTGACGTCATAATAACAATACGTTGTTTTCGTTGTTCGTGATGTAACAGTATAACGCTGTGTCGTCATTGAAACGGGAAGGGAAATTCAATGGAGTTCCTTTAAAGACTACTTTGACACATTCTTCAGCAGTTGTCAACAGATTGTGACCGCTAACAATACCGGCGTCCGTCAACGCTTGTTAGTTTCCGTGTTCGATGCACTGACATTCGCCATGTTCACAACACAGTGGCGGTTTCTTCAGGAGGCAAGTCGTTGGGGCACAGTTTTTCAGGCTCGGGTTCATTGCTTTCAAAAGGGGGCGGTGGGGTAGCCTAGTGGTTAAAGCGTTCGCTCGACACGCCCATGACCGGGTTTCGATTCCCCACATGGGTACAATGTGTGAAGCCCATTTCTGATGTCGCCGCCGTGATATTGCTGTAATAATGCTAAAAGCGACATACAACTCAACACACTCACTCACACATTGTGGAGCCTTGTCGTGCCGTAAAATGCCTCCTCTTGGCTGTTGTCGAATAATGAGTGAGTGAGTTTAGTTTAGCAATATTCCAGCACTATCACTGCGGGGGACGCAAGAAATAGGCTTCACACATTATACCCATGTGGGGAATCGAACCCAGGTCTTTAGGTTAACGAGCAATCGCTTTAGCCACTAGGCTACCCCACAGCCCCAGAAAGCTCATGAAGGGATCAATGTTTTACTTCGAAACAGCAGTTCGATACATCATAGGTCACCATGTAAGCAGAGAGAGAATATGAACTTAGCATTGTTGTGCGTTTCATGCGAAAGACATTATCTTGTCTTCATCATCAGTTACAATTATATTAACATTACGAAATATTTTCTTCTTCTTTTTCCAGTTATAAAGAGGTTTTGAGTTCACGAGACACCGCACAAACGAACAAAGTAAGTACGATCGATGCTTCACAATTCAATACATAGATCGAATATTTTCAGCTAAAAACAGTTTGACAACAAATTACATTGAAATAAACAAAAAAAACTACTGAAACAATCGCGTATCTTTTTTTCACTACACGTGAACTCAGTTAGTGTTTTATATACCATGATTTCCGTTGTTAAAAGAAAGAGGATTTAGATCCTTTAATCCCACTCATACGAAGGAAAGAACAGTGTTAAAATCGTCATTCGTGATAGGAGAAAGGTGCGCAGAATATGTTTACGTAGCCGGGAACATGCATATCCGAAGATGATCTAGTCTGTATCAGTCCCTGAGCGGCATTATTTCCCCTTTCGCCCAGCCCTTTTTTGAGTGGTAAAACCCGAAATAAAGCAAGTCTAGATTTATTATATAATCAGGGACCTAGCGTTATTCTACAGATGATCGTGAATAGAGATTGCTTGCTTAGGTGCGAAAGGAGGGACGAGCTTGTGCGATTAAACATGCCATTTCGGTGGACATTTTGTGTCCCACAGGTGTAGTCTTGTGTGTCAAAATCCTATGATCGCGGGTTCGAATCCCGGAATCACCCTGCTGTGTATCTTGTGTTTTAAACACCCTTCCCGTACTCGCGGGTTTCACCAAAGTAGTAAACGTTTTAAAACCACTCAGGTTTACCTGGGTTTTTCCTCGGATACACCTGCATTTACACTGAGTTAAACTAAACTCACTCACATGAATTTCAAACTATCCCAATACAAGCATTAACGGATCCGGGGTGGGGTGTTTCAGGGGGTTCGACCCCAAACACACACACACACACACCCTACCACCACCACCACCACCACCACCCCCCACCACCACCCAACCCCCTTTGAAGTTGACTAAAAAAGTAAAGACCGCATTAAAGTTAATGTTTTGCATTGGCGGAGCTAAAGGGGGTTCAAACCCTTCCTCCCCCTACCCCCACCCCTTTTGAAAATTCCTGGATCTCCCTATGGTAAGGTAATTACGTAAACATACTGTTCATCACACTGTGGGTATTACCATGCCAGTGTAATACCTTGTCAGTACAAGTAAGAAACGAGATCATGTTGAAATGCACTTCCGGGTTGTCATTGACAGTATTCTTGCGTGCACATATTTTACGCCCTCTTTGTGCCGCCTGTGTAACTTGATCAACCGGAGTAGATTTTGCCATCTTGTCTGCACAGGAGGGCAATCTGATCGCCATCCTACAAACAGCTGCCGATAGGTTATGTTCTTCCAGTTTTGTAGTAATCTACAATCTTGTATGTAATGCGTTAAGTAATCTGTTCAAAAATTTGATTACAAATATACGAGGTTTTCCAGAGGATATTTTAACTTTATCAACGAGAGTTGATATATTTGATGTCTGAAGACACGAGGGTGAGATTCTATTTATCATAAAAATCACTCTTCATTAGTTTTCAATGAAAAATGTCCATCCCTGAACACAGTGCTGCCATTAGACTGGCAGTGCAGCGATGTCATAGAATTGTGATGTCATCAAGTTCATGACGTCATGGGGCGGTGGGGTAGCCTAATGGTTAAAGCGTAGGCTCGTCACGCCGAAGACCCGGGTTCGAATCCCCACATGGGTACAATGCGTGAAGCCCATTTCTGGTGTCCCCCGCCGTGATGATGCTGGAATAGTGCTAAAAGCGGCGTAAAACTAAACTCACTTGCTCACTCAACTCACCATGATCTTCTTCTCACTCAGTCAGTCAGTCAGTCATGACGTCATAGCATTGTCAGAGCATTGTACAAAATCTACTGTCAAAATGATATCTCCCAGGAGATATGTAGAGATTATTACACTTCATTTTTCATATCTTGCCCGATCTTATCCCGAGACACCCATATCGGGGTGGCAAAAAAAGTCCATAACAGGGAAAATATCACTGTATTAAGTGATAACGTTTGATCTCACACGTGCAATATCTCCTGCTGGAACAGTATGTATGTATGTATGTATGTATGTATGTATGTATGTATGTATGTATGTATGTATGTATGTATGTATGTATGTATGTATGTATATGTATGTATGTATGTATGTATGTATGTATGTATGTATGTATGTATGTATGTATGTGAGTGAGTGCGCACGCGTCCGTGTGTATGTGCCCGTGCGTGCGTGTGTGTGTGCGTGCATGCGTGTGGAGAATCCGAATTAGAATAGGCTCCCTTCAACGTACAGAGGCGACCGGATCAGCTGGTGAGAGTGTCAGCGTCCCCCGACGGCGTGGTTCTTTGCTCATTTCATCAACCGCTGGATTCTCCTTTCTAAACTGATTTACAGACCCTTCTGTTTTATAGCTGGAATATTGCTAAAAGTGGCGTAAAACAAACCTTACTAACTCACTCACTCTATTTTAAGATATATGGGCGTGGGTACAAAACACTTTTTTCAGTTTAAACACCGGTAACGTTTTAGAAAAACTGCCGGTCAAAACAATGTTTGATGGGTCTAAAAATGAGAGAAGAAATGTTTGAAACGGGTATCACAGACTTATGCTTAGTCTCTGAATATATATAAATTTGATAGATACAAGTAATTCCAGTTAAATTAAAAGGGAGCCCCTGTGAATTGGGAAATCTAGACTCGCTTCATTTAGAGCTCCAGCATTGCAGAAAGGGCTGGTCGAAATTGAAAATAATGCGGTTCTGGGACTCTGAACCAGCCAGTGAGTATGGTTTTACGCCGTTTTAGCAACATTCCAGCAATATCACTTCGGGGCCGGGGCGCACCAGAAATGGGCTTCACATATCCCATGTGGGGAATAGAACCAGGGATTTCAGCGTGACGATTGAACGCTTTAACCACTAGACTACCCCCGCCTCATTTGAGAGAGTCTACGGGTACGATAGCTCTGTTGGGTATTTAATTTACGCTTGCAGTGTTTCTGCGATGTTTTTCGGACTACAATCGTTTTTGATAGCATGTGTATTTCGATCCCTGATCCCACAAAGAAATCTTTGTGGTTCGATTGTCTTACGTCTTTGTTAAACTTTGGGAGTTACGATCGCCTTTACGCTAAACCGATCTATGTCTTAACCACAACAGATCATGTCGAGCCCCGATACACTAACGGGAACTCAACACCTGCACTCGCTGCTCATAATGCTATAATTTCTATTTTCATGAGATTGATGTGACGATCGAAGGTTCAAATAAAACTTTTAGATTTTTGGTGTGTTTGTAATAAAAATCGGCCGTTCTTATGTGTAATGTAAAACAATATTTACAAAAGAAATTTCAAATCTCCAAATTTGACACTATATTGATCCAAACAAACGAATAAATATTTCACCACAGTATTTGATATTTTCACTGATCGAATTTGTTGCATTATGGCTGTGAGCTATTTTGAGCAGTCGAATTTCCATCAATTGTAAATAATCGTGTCTGATGGTTTTGCTAAAAATAAACGAGAAAACTTTCAAATGTGTCATATGGCTGAGCAAAAGGGACATTTTGTATGGCACTGAGCGAGAATTTCCGATTCATAAACCCAGGCAATATTTTAGATTAGCTGCAATGTACGCTGGGATATGAAATTAACCAATCAAAATCGTTAGTCTGCTTGGTAATTCCCCGAAATCTATTTATAGCATATGACTTCTCCTGGAATTATCAGGAAGGTTGTGAGCATATTTAGAGTACTAGTACACCACGAGTAGTGGTCTACCACTAACTTGTCAACAATGACGACTCTCAGCTCAGGTAGGTACAAATTTATGTCTACTGCAACACCCAACTGTGACATTTAGGAAATCATGGGGCTTGTAATGTGCGAGCTATCGTGCAATATACTCGATTTCCGTCAACCGCTTCATCAGGACGCCATATTTGTTGACAGCCATATAACCAAGATCACGCCTGCATGGCCGAGTACGAAGTGGCGGTGCAAAACATTGGTAGGACATGATTTAACTCTGCCGTTACTATAAGGTGCGCTGTGTAATATGGAAGAAGACTCGTGTATAATTTATGGATGATAAGCTATATTTTAAGCGAATAGGTGATTGTGATTGGAGTATATTACGTATTTTCGATTTAGCTTCAGCATCAGCATCAAGCTAATAGACACTGGACAATTTATAATGCAAATAATCCACGACTTTGACGTTGACAGTGGCTGCAACGACAACGATTCGCCTTGCAAGTGGTAATTGTTGCTACTTCAGGTTACAAAACTTATATTTTATTTTTAAGTTCTGTGGCCAAGATGTCAGTTTGTACATATATTGACAACTGAAATACTGCCACATCAGGCACACATTTCCGACTTATGCACTGTCTCTATTTATGAACATGGTATAAATATTTTTGGGTGTGGTAAGCATAAAGCATTTTAATACATTTCAACACATTTCTTAATGATGTAAATGGACTTTTAAATGTGAATATGACCTGAAATTGTTCTGTGTTTTGATATCATGATATTCTTGTCAACCGAGTACAGTCCATATAGTTAGTATTGGCTAGGCATCCAAGAGATGATTGATTGTATTCATAAAGCATCAACTTGGTGAAGGTATCTCTTGGAGCAGGATCTCCAGGACTTGACATGACAGCATGATATTTATACTTGCCTGACATGTACTTTTATGATGCTGTAAAAGTGCAATAACCTGAACAAGACCCAATATCACCTGACTTCATAATCATTATAATCATTCAAAAAACCCATAAAGCTGAAGTAACTTTATTGGTTATGACCTCAAAGACAAGATTAACATATGAACTCAAGTTCTTATATATTTCAATGCAAATTTTGAGCACAGGTGCTAGTACCTCAACAACTGATATTACTGACTGACTCAAACACGTTTTCTTGACAAAAAAGTGGTATTGAAAAAAAATTAGCTTAAGTAGCATATTCCATCCTCTTCTTTTCAAAGGTACTGAATGATTACTTGTACTATATCATTATCAATACATGAAATCAACTGTTACCTCAAACACATGAATGTGAATTAGTGAAATCTATTTAAATAGAATATAGTTTTGTACAGCTTTAACAGGAATGTTTACACTATTGAATAGGACTAGTTAAGACGTAATGTTTACATCATTTCAGTCCTAGGGACGGTGGGGTAGCCTAGTGGTTAGAGCATTCAGTCATCACACCGAAGACTCGGGTTCGATTCCACACATGGGTACAATGTGTGAAGTCCATTTCTGGTGTCTCCCGCCATGATATTGCTCGAATATTGCTAAAAACAGCGTAAAGCCATACTAACTCACTCATTTCAGTACTTTAACACAGAGATTAACAGGGTAACACATGATAACATAGCTTAGAGGAAAAAAATATGCCTGTGTTCAGAAACTTTAAACTATTTTGAGACTGCTGTCATTAGACTGTGTCTTTCTTCAGATTTCAACTTGGATGACCTGTCTGCTGTGCAGCTGCCAAGTGGCGAGCTCGAGAGATATATTCACGCTAACTTTGGATTACCCGAAGAACAACCAGTCCAGGCCACTCAAGAAATGAATGGTTAGCATGCAGGGTTTTACCTAGATTCTAAAACATTAGGGGTCCTGGGGACCCTCAATTATTAGTTTTAAGGGTCCTTGCAGTCAATATGAAGGTTGCCTGTGAAGGTCCGGGTTAGAATATTGATCTTTAGTAACCCATGCTTGTTGTAAGAGGGAACTAACGGGATCGGGTGGTCAGGCTCGCTGACTTGGTTGACACATGTCATCGGTTCCCAATTGCGCAGATCGATGCTCATGCTGTTGATCACTGGATTGTCCCATGACTCGATTATTTACAGACCGCCGCCATATAGCTGGAATATTGGTGAGTGCAGCGTAAAACTAAACTCACTCACTCACTCAATATGAAGGTCCAATGAAGTGACGGTGTAGAGAACTGTATGTTTTGATAATTTCCTTAGAGTCTGGAATGAATCGTTGATCATATGGACTGGTGGATTAGATGATGCAGGTAACTGCTCTGAAAGAAACAACCAAACACTTAGCAAAGTCATAGATGTGTCGGTACAATGAATAATATTGTGCGTCCCTCAGGGAGCAGTGAATTTTTCTTTCTGCGTCCATTCTCTACATTTGTGTATACAGGACTCACATTTGTGCGTCGTGTAAAACCCTGCAGTATGGTTTGGTTGCTGTAGCAGTTGCTCTGTCATGCTTAGAGATTGTTTTATGAGAATGATGTCATAATATACATAATTTAGCTGACTGTCCTTGTACACGACATCTTAGGGCTGCAATAGTTTCGAAAATTTGCTGCGACAGTCCACAATTTTTCTATGATAACTGTACAATATTTTAGGGCTAAGATCATTTTGAAAATCTAAGCCCAGAACATTAGTGACAGGATATCATGAACATAGCAGAACTATTGCTTGTAACATATCACTATCAGGGATGCATCATAACAATTACAGATGACCAGATAAGCTGCGTATCTGGGTAAAATACGCATAGAAAACTTCCAATTACGCATTGAAAAAATAACTGTTGCGTGCCAATTAAAATGCATTTAAAATGTTAGATACGCAAAAAGTTTAAAACAAATGCGTACAGAATATATTTATAAAAATCACTTGCGTAATGAAAAAGACATCGATTGCTATCAAGTTGTACTGTTAGTATAGGACAAGTGTTGTACTGTCAGTATAGGATGAGTGATTTTTATGAAATCATTTTCATTATATTTTAGTTAGTTTTGATTAGGTATGACATAAGGCAGAACATACCTGCTTAGTAAACTTACTCAATGACGTAATACTTAGGTGAGTCAAATGACTGAAATACACACATATTTGAAAGCAGTGGGTAACGGAAAATGAAATACACACTCAACATTCATAATACCCTCTCCAAGAAAATACAGTGGGTACAGTACCCACATGAGCTACATGTACAACAGAGCAAGAATGAAAACGTAACGTAACGGAGTAATAGTACACGTTGGCGCTTCACATGACAACTATCTGGAGCTCTGCATTTAGCAGTGAGTATGTGTAACATGGATGTCTAAGTTGTCTGAGGGTGTGGGTTCGAATCCTGGATGGGACTCAACCCAATATAAATACTAAAATCTGTACTTTACTGAGAAAATTTAATCACAAACATGTGTTACATTTGTTCTTGTTGCAAGAAATCAAACTATCACCATCATTGTGTATGGATTCGTTGGACCATTTGTGCACATGTTCAAACATTTGCGATAAATCCTTGCAGCCAATCGACATGTACAGATATGAGTGCTAAATATTTGCCATTATTACACAAGTTCAAACGTTTGTGATAAATCCATGCCACTATTCCATATGTACAAACATTTGTCATAAATCCTTGCCACTATTCGATATGTACAAACATTTGCAATACATTCTTGCCACTATGCGACATGTTCAAACAATTGTGATAAATCCTTGCCACTATTCCATATGTACAAACATTTGTGATAAATATTAAAACATTTGCAATAAATCCTTGCCACTATGCGACATGTTCAAACACTTGTGATAAATACTTGCCACTATTCCATATGTACAAACGCTTGCAATAAATCCTTGCCACTATGCGACATGTTTAAACATTTATGATAAATCCTTGCCACTATTACACATGGTCAAACATTAGCTATAGTATAAATCCTTGCCACTATTCCGCATGTTCAAACATTAGCTATAAATCCTTGCCACTATTCCGCATGTTCAAACATTAGCTATAAATCCTTGCCACTATTACACATGGTGAAACATTAGCTATAGTATAAATCCTTGCCACTTTTCCACATGGTCAAACATTAGCTATAAATCCTTGCCACTATTCCACATGTTCAAACATTAGCTATAAATCCTTGCCACTTTTCCACATGTTCCAGGTCAGGTTTCGTCACAAGTCCAGACCGGAGTACAGGGTGGCATGATCCGTCAGGTGCAGTCACCGATGTTTTCTAGTGCTGCTCTCACCTCAGAACCAGCACCTCAGCAAGCACCTGCTCGCTCAAGCAACCAGCCATATATGGAAATAGTCGAGCAGCCCCAGTCACGTGGACTGCGGTTCCGATACGAGTGTGAGGGACGATCTGCTGGCAGCATACCAGGGGAACACAGCTCATCTGAGAGAAAGACTTTCCCCACTATAAAGGTGAGCACCTGTTTGAGTAACACCTCATTGAGCTAGCTCTCGTGCTACTTTGAAGACTTTATCTGTGGATTAGGGGCTAGAATGGATCCTCTGAAAAATATACTGCGTGTGGAGTGTATGTTTAGGCTGAGAGACACGTACAATAGTTACAATCTTTGTTCAATGTCGTTGCATGAATTGTCTTATCAAGACTGGACTGCATGTAATGAGATTAACATGCTTCAGCCAGGAGGGAAAGATGAATCTTCGAATGTTCATGTTTCTTGTAACCATGACATTTCCAAAATGACATTTTGTATCGCTTTGATTTCAGATACGTAATTATAAGGGCCCAGCTATAGTAGTAGTCTCGTGTGTGACCAGAGATGCTCTCCCACACTGTAAGCCACACCCACATTCTCTTGTGGGGAAAGATTGTAAGAAAGGCGTATGCACAGTAAAGGTCAAGGACACGGACACGATAACGTAAGTTGATAATAAACTTGAGGAATGTCTGGAAAGCGAATATATCATGTTTCATTTGTTTTGCTTAACAATAAGTCAAACCCCTTAAAGAATAGTGAGTGAGTGAGTGAGTATGATTTTACGCCGCTTTTAGCAATATTCCAGAAATATCATGGCAGGGGACACCAGAGAAATGGGCTTCACACATTGTACCCAGTCTTCAGCATGACGAGCAAACGATTTGGCCATTAGGCAAACACACCACCTCACTCTGAAACATATTACAGAAGTTCACATCCACAAATTTCTCCCTTCTAAATGCACACCTGTGAAGGTCCGGGTAACCCATGCTTGTCCTAAGAGGCGACTAACGGGATCGGGTGGCCAGGCTCGCTGACTTGGTTGACACATGTCATCGGTTCCCAATTGCGCAGATCAATGCTCATGCTGTTGATCACTGGATTGTCTTGTCCAGACTCAATTATTTACAGACCGCCGCCATATAGCTGGAATATTGGTGAGTGTGGCGCTAAACTAAACTCACTCACACTCACCCTTCTAAATGCAAGGCAAAGACTTTAAGACCTATTTTCACCTACTGATCTCAGAGTTTTCAATTGATGTTCGTTTTCAGATTTCCTCATCTGGGCATTCAGTGTGCCAAGAAGAAAGACGTTGAAAACAGTTTAAAACAGAGAAAAGAAATTAATGTGGACCCTTTTCAGAGTGAGTAAATCAAATGGCTTGGTGATGATGACATTTTATGAAACTTCTGAAAAATTTCTATCAGACTACAAGGCTGATAACTCTTTTGACCTACAGAAAACCAACCATTCCCATCACAATTGCATAAAAGTATTCTTTATTTGAATAAAACAGAACAAGAGGTATGTTTGGTGAGCCTCTTTCAATGCATAACTTCCTCAATCTGATAACCTTTGACATATTGGAACCGTATCAAAGTTTCGTAACAAATACACATGACATGTAAACTTAAAATAATGTCTTTGGGGGTGAAGTCTGAAGATATTATTGATCAATTATTAACCTGTCCATCCTTCAGGAAGCTTAAAATTTTGTCATGCCTGACCGTCTCAGGCATTTGGGCAGATGGAGATTTCAAAAAGTGAGTTCAGTTAACAAAACCAATGGATGGGGATTTGTTCTTATCCAGGTCCTGACTGCATGACAGCAGTTGGACTATGGTATGAATGTAAGCTAGTTCTCAAGATCCTTGAGGATAGAAATGTCAGTTACATGTACTCTTGATTGCACATGCTGAAGTGAAACACTTCCTTTCCAGTTTGGGGAATGAGTTCCCGACTGAGTTCTTTTAATTTCGTGTTGTATTGCAGCTGGCTTCAATCATGGCATAGGTCAGATTGATCTGAATGTGGTCCGTCTGTGTTTCCAAGTCTTCCTGCCTGATGCAAGTGGAAAGATTACCAGAGTTGTCCCCCCTGTGGTGTCACAACTCATCCATGATAAAAGTAAGTTTGCTAAGTAGTTGCACATGCTACCATAAGGGATATTAAGTGAATGAGTGAGTGAGTATGGTTTTATGCTATTTTAAGCAATATTCCAGCAATATCATGGTGGGGGACACCAGAAGTGGGCTTCCTATATTGTACCCATGTCGGAAATCGAACCCTTGTCTTTGGTGTGAAGAGTGAACACTTTAACCACTAGCCTACCCAACTGCCCTGATAGTTAGAATAACATCACCTTCAAACAAAAGAAGTGGGGTGAATGGGCTTTAGAAAATGACAAGTTTAAATCAAAAGATCCCAACTAGATTTGTTGTGATTGAGTGGTGTCCGTTAGACATACCAGAAAATTATGATCATGGGTTTGAATCCTATTTCACCCTGATGTGTATAGGTTTGTCTGTACAAATTTATACCACAATACATTCAGGTTCAACTGCAATCATTTTTTTACAATCTGTGAAATTTATTTCTAGTGAGGCAACTAACGGAATCAGGTGGTAAGGCTCGCTGACTTGGTTGACACGTCATCGGTTCCCAATTTATGCAGATCAATGCCCATGCTGTTGATCACTGGATTGTCTGGTCCAGACTCGATTATTTACAGACCGCTGCCATATAGCTGGAATATTGCTGAGTGCGGCATAAAACTCAACTCACTCATTTCTTGTGTCCCTGGGGCGGTGGGGTAGCCTAATGGTTAAAGTGTCCGCTCGTCACGCTCGTCCATTCCCTACATGGGTACATTTGAGGTAAGGAAAATAGGATACATGATGAACACTTGATGAATAATATAATTTCCTTCTTTCTTTTTCAAAGAGTCTGTCAACGAGCTGACAATATGCCGCGTTGATCGCAGTTCGGGGAAGGCGAAAGGTGGCGATGAGATCTTCCTCCTGTGTGAAAAAGTTAACAAAGGTAATGATTGTCAAAGATATTATGTAACATGTTATACTTAGGATCACGCTTTCTCAGTAACAATTGTGTTAGGTTGAGTCCCATCTGGGACTCGAACCCCACTCCGAGTCACATGATCACATCTATTATTGCCAGAACGCAACTTAAGCCACTCAGCCAGCTCAGGAAGTATATCAGTACTTGTTAAATGTGTCAGCTATTAATTGAAGTGTGGTTGATGTGAGGTGAGGTGAAATTGGGTTTAACGTCGTGCTTGAGAATATTTCGCTCATATGACGACGTGCATGCATGTGTATGTGTATGTGCGCCTGCTTGTACTAGCCCAGACTGAAGCTGGTTTTATAGTGCTAGCCCACTGAGATACCATGCCGCAGTGAAGCATGAATACCCCACTCAGACACATTATACTGACTCCGAGACAACCAGTCCTTGTTGTACCCATTAATGCCGAGCGCCAGGCAGGGACCAACGAGTACCATATTGTAACGTCTTTTGGTATGACGCGGTCGGGGATCGAACCCGCGACCTTCCGCTCTCCGGGCGGACGCTCTAACCACTACACCACGGGGGCAGTCGGTTATGTGGTTGATGCTTATTAATCAGGACTGTGTGTTTCTTATTGTCAGTAATAATGTAACATTTCAGTGTGTATAGGAATGTTTGTGTTGGTTTCAGATGATATCCAAGTCCGATTCTATAAAGACACAGCTGCTGGTTGCATGTGGGAAGAATTTGGTGATTTTGGACAGGGGGACGTGCATAGACAGGTTGGTGTGCTTTGGTTGGTTGATTTGTTGTATAACAGTGCACTCAGCAATATTCCAGCTATATGGAGGTGGTCTATAAATAATCGAGTCTGGACCAGACAATCCAGTGATCAACAGCATGAGCACTAATCTACGTAATTGGGATATGATGACATGTGTCAACCAAGTCAGCGAGTCTGACCATCCATTCCCATTAGTCACTGTAGTGAGTGAGTGAGTTTAGTTTTTACGCTGCTTTTAGCAATATTCCAGCAATATCACGGCGGAGGACACCAGAACTGGGTTTCATACATTGTACACATGTGCGGAATTAGTCACTGTAGGTGTTCACAGACAGATGTACATGGGGAGGGGCACTGTGCTTGTGTTCCCAGACAGGTGTTAATTATCTTTCCCTTGTGCTATGTTTCAGTTTGCTGTTGTGTTCAAGACCCCACCTTACAAAGAGGCATTCATACAGCAACCCGTAGACGTGCTTATGCAGCTGAAACGACCGTCTGACAATGAGACATCAGAATCGATTCCATTCACTTACATGCCCGAGGATCCTGGTAAGTTGTGGAATCCATCACTGGTTCCATGTCTTCTGCATGACATTCGTTTTCTGCATGAAGCTGTTATCTTTAGCAGTCATTTATAACTTCTTTGAGCGGCATTTTAGAAGTTAGGACGTACAATATTTAACAAACTTTATTGATAACAGCTTCTTATATTTCGTTAGTGCGATGTTTGGATACAGATTCTTGTACTTCTCAATTCCTGCTTGACAAAGGTACAAGAATCTGTATCGAAACGTCACATGCATGAAATAAATGAAGTTGTTATCCATAAAGTTGTGTCAATATTGCAGACATTTATAGCTTCATACGAAAAATGTAAAATATTGATTCTGAGTGACAAGTGGCTACAGAAATCTTTTTCATTTTTCCATAAAATTGCTTGCGCTGGTTATTAATAACATTGAAATATTGCAGATCCAGATAGAATTGAAGAGAAGAGGAAGCGCAAAGCAGCACATTTTGTTCAGAACTGGGGTGGTTCAGGTAAGTCACTGACCAAATCACCTTGTATAATATCGACCTTGGTGTTGCGGAAAATGTGAATTATCTTTAACAATTTTCGTAATACTCACTCACTCACTAGTATTAGTGATCCCTTTGAGTTTGTTATAACATGAGTTAACTGTATTTGCGACCAGTGAAGATCTTTAGCAACCCATGCTTGTTGTAAGAGGGACCAGTGGGATCAAGTGTCATGTGACCACATGTTGTGTCCAAATTACGTAGATCGATGTTCATGCTGTTGATCACTGTATCGTCTTGTCCGGACTGCTGCCATGTAGCTGGAATATTGCTGGATGCTGCGTTAAACAACAAACTAACAGTATTTGCATCAGACAGCAATGAAGTACCAAGTTTCCTTTAGTTTTTCAAACACAGTTTATGCTGAAAGTTACTTCTGTTCTTCAGTGAGTGAGCGAGGAAATGCCACAGTCAAAGAAGGCTTGCGTACGAAACTGAGAGCCAATCGCAGGATCAAACAGGAAGGAGAGCCAATGATGCAAGGTACACAGACAGTTGATGCTGGGTGGAAGTGGGATGGATGAAGTGTTGATGGATGAAGTGTTGAAGCGATGTGTCATGGCTGATATTGTGGTTCATGGGAGAGTTGCTTTGTTCCTGCAGTGATTGAAGAAATGACATTAGTGGTGAAGGCAATTGAGTTGGTTGGTTGGTTGATTGGTTGTTGATTGATTTGCTGGTTGGTTGGATTGATTTATTGGTTGGTTGGTTGGATGGTTGATTGGTTGTTGATTGATTTGCTGGTTGGTTGGATGGTTGATTGGTTGGTAGATTGGATGGTTGATTGGTTGGTAGATTGGATGGTTGATTGGTTGTTGATTGATTTGCTGGTTGGATGGTTGGTTGGTTGATTGGTTGTTGATTTATTTGCTGGTTGTTTGATTTTGGTTGGATGATTGATTGGTTTTGCTGGTTGGTTGGATTGGTTGATTGATTGGATGGTTGATTGATTGGTTGGATTGATTTGCTGGTTGGATGGATGGGATTGATTGATTGAACAGAAACGGATGTTGCATGATAAACTGATTGAGGTTTTGCTTACAAGGAAGAGAGCAAGCTCCATCATAATGTACAAGATGTTTGTTTACTCTTTTATTATTGAACAAAGAATTATGTATGGCTGTGTGGAGCTTTGTCACAGTGTCTGGCAAGTAAAACGCTTGGTTGGCTTTTGTCATTTGTTAACAAATGTTGAAAAAGACAACACATCTTGCAATGGCTCATTTAGAGGCAAACTCTCCTATTTTGACATATCCTGACTCATGATCTGTTGTTTATCTCCCTTTCCCTTTCGAATGGTAGTGGAACACTTGAATCCCTTGAAGTTGGACCAAACAGTGTGATGGTAGATGATTTTATGTGATGATTGATGAGAAGGTGTTTATCCATGATGGTGTTAGAGGTGTATGACGCTTGGTGACAAGTTAGTGATGGAGGATCGTTCAGTCTTGAATGTGAAAGGTGGGTTAACCTTGTGGTTATGGTGTTTGCTCGTCAAGCCGAGGAGTGGGTTTGATTCCCTAAATGAGTACAATGTGTGTAGCCCTTTTATTGTGTCCCCTGCAGTGATATTACTGAAATATTCCTAAAAGTGACATGATACCCAACTGACTAATTCCTAAGCGTAAGAACAGTACCACCAAGAGTCTAAGTCCAAGACAAGATCCACCAAGTGTTCTGTCACCATGTGACAGTAGACAAACCAATACGGTCTCAGATCACCCTGGGGACGGTGTGGTAGCCTAGTGGTTAAAGCGTTCGCTAGTCACGCTGAAGACCCAGGTTTGATTCCTCACATGGGTACAATGTGTGAAGCCCATTTCTGGTGTCCCCGCTGTGATATTGCTGGAATATTGGTAAAAGTGGCGTAAAACTAAACTCACTTGCTCACTCAACTCACCATGATCTTCTTCTCACTGTTTCCAGACGAACTACCCAGATACTCCTTCACCAACACCGGCGCCAGTGCAACAGCTGGGAGCATGACAGGCATGCCCACGATGAACATCCGCACAGCAGACAACACTGCCATGGGAAGCATGACCGTCTCCAACACAGCATCCACTGCGGCCAACCCCCAGTTTCAGCACTTGAGGATCGACCACACGGGGAATGTAATTGACAGCTCGGTTGTACAGAACCAGCAGCAGCAGCAGAACATCATAATTGAAGGAGGCCAGATCAACATTAACCCTGAAACCATCGACATGGAGTTACTTCACGCCTATCTCCAGGACGCACAAGGAGGTAGCAATGATGCCCTGTCGGCTGACCTGCTTGACGAAACATACGACCCAAACGTTGCTGCGATGGAGAGTGTATCGAGCAACGTCCAGGCAATGACTCATCCTGGATCGTTTGCAGCCACGCAAGAGAGTTTACAGGGGCTAAGTGAGAACTCTTGAAGACAGAACAGTGTGTGGACATTTTGTTTTATACAGCGGACTTTGTGTACATCAAGGTGCATTGGTATCCGTTTAGTGTGAAATAAACGTGAATACTGTGTCTTTTTTCTGAAATGGATTCATATACACTGCCAGCAAGATGGATGAAATTTTGAACATTTTGTTGACCTTCAGAATCCCACTGTTTATATGCATCCGAATTATTGTTAAGGTTGTTTTTGTCTTTATAGTAAAAGACCAAAAGTTGCTGACCAGCAAGCAGATGAGATTTCATCCAGGCCCTGTTCGGATGCAAGGAAATCTGAAAATGAAAAGGCTGTTTGTGGTACATGCCATGTATGAACTAAATACTGACATGCTATTTGTCTCCTATGTAGAAACAGAATAAGAGAGCCCTCCTCTACACCCAAAACATATGTGTTTTTTACTCCTTTCAAAGATGTTTTTTACAAATGTTTTCAACATTATCTAAGATTTGTACATACAATTCAGAAATCATTTACAGATGTGTTTTTAAAATGTGTCTGTGCTGTTGTTTTTCTGTTGTACAGTGTTTGAAATTAAGCGGGAGTCTTTGTTGCAAGCTTAAGAATCAGTGAGTCCTACAAGTACCTCGTAAGGATGAGAAAGCCACAATAAAGCCTAGTGGCTGCAAGAGTTGTATACACCCCACGGAGTTGAGATTGATAGTACGATCTGCCATTGAGACTGACATCCAGTGATTGAGGGAAAAAAAATACCAGCGCCTTAAGCATGCACTAGTTGCATGGGTATGTGCGCTATATGAATATCCTATAATAATAATAAGTACTATTGTGGCATCCCCAAGAACCCAACTGCCCCTCTTAATTTCAAACACTGTAGATATATTTCTCTTCTATTTCTAGTGTGATTGATTCAGGCTTTAAGCCTACTATGTTAATCTGGCTGTATTTTAGCATTGACACAAGACTGTTGCATTGTATAGAGATGAACTGATCCATGGTAGAACTGTACATGTTTGTGCTGAATTCATGAACTGTTCATTAAGTGCTATGATATCATGAATATATCACTGTTTGTTTAACTTACATCATGTTAATGTTCATTGCTGAAACATGCTTGGCATAGTAAGTGCCATCTTTCATACAGCATCAAGAGTTCCTACAATACTGGGTCCCGATTCACAAAGTGTTCGCAGCTCTACGTCATTCGTAAAGCCTATGGTAACATTACAATCACTTTGTGGATCAGGACCCTGGTCCAGGATGCTGTTAATGCTGAGTATTTAGTATATTTTAGGTGATATGTCTCCCAGTATGATTATAATCAGGGTTTTGACTGATACAATACCTCCCTGTGTGAAGATCTGGCAAATCCTAGCTGGAAAGTCGTGTAAGGTGAACTTTCTGATCAGCCAATCAGTGGCAGGCTTCTGAAGTGTCTGCATGAGGTGGCAACAGGTTGCTAATAGGGCTGTTTTGCTTCATGTGTTCACTGAATTGATCTTTTTCCCTTCTTGAATTCAATTTGTTATTCGCCGTCACTACAATTTACATATGTGTGAGTGTTTTAAAGCATTTGTTTTACTTGAATTTAGGTGTTATTTATCAAAACAGGATGTGGAAAATGTAATATATCTAAACCAGGTTGGGGGCTGTGGTTAAAGAGTTCGCTTGTCGCCAAAGACCTGGGTTCGATTTCCCACATGGGTACAGTGTGTGAAGCCCATTTCTGGTGTCCCCTGCCGTGATATTGCTGGAATTTTGCTTAAAGTGGCGTAAAACCAAAACTCGCTCACTAAACCAGGTTGAATAATAGCCAACACACTCATATTCAGTTTGTCAGTTATGAGATCACGGGTCGTTCTCATGATAGATTTACACTGTCAAAATTGCCGAAACATATCAAATAATTATTTTCTGATTGTTTAACTGGATATAATGAATGGGACGTCAGCTGCTGACTTGTTGTATTCGTTACCCAATATTCATGACGTGTATCTTATTCGCGTCATTATGGATTCGTAACAGCCCTCAATTTCTGTATCTCAGAATCAAACATAAACAAACTCTTCTGATAATGTTTAAAAATCCTTGTCATCTCCATCTCTTCTCCATGGGACCTGCATCCGAAACTAGGTTCTGTGACAGTTTTCTTATACAGATGTAAATTTCGTGGTAATGAAATGAAACCAAATTGTTTAAAAAGACACATCTGTTTGGCTTGAGAACCGAAAGACACTTCATGGCAAGCTCCACCATCAACTGCCGAACTCATATCAATTTGTCATTTCTTCATGCAGGGGGGTTCACTGTCGCAGTGAAGGATTTGATTTCAGTAGATTGTGATTTTCCCAACGTGTTTATAACTTATAAGATTGTTTCCAGATAGCATCATGGCAAGCTCACAAGAAACTAGCATCATGACAATTCCTCAAGTCTTTAGAGGATCCTGAAAATTGATTTGAGAAAGATGGGTGATGAAAACAAGCTGATGTGTTACTTGGTGAATCTCTTTGTTTATGTAAAACATTACATACAGTCTACTTTCTAGATATCTGCAGGAAGTGTGTTATTCTTTATGTTGTGTCATCTTTAGCTTCCTATCAGAATAAAGCATTTACGGAGATATGTTTGTAGTGGATGTGTTTGACGATCAATTATTACTATTGGGAATATAAGTGATGGTTGCCATATTTGTAGCAGAATGAAGTGAACAAACGTTTTGTCTGGCTATTTCCATTTGAATTCACATGAGGAAATTAAGTTATATAATATTATTCCCATCGACATCATTATGGTCATGTCCTTATGATTGTCATCTTGAAAAGTGCAAGTAATCTACTTTTAGGGCAAACAATAATTTCTGGTATTGTCTGGTTTAAATTTTGTATTTGTGAATATCAGAATGGTCTGGATTTAAGGAATGCCCAAACTAGACAGCCATGTTTGAATTAGTAGTATGCAATCTTCAACTTGATCCACAAACCTCACCCTGAACCAGTAAAATTTCCATTCATTTAGTAAGTATATTATGTAATAGGTCATATTTTTACATTGAAAGTTTCAATGGGTTCAAAAGATTTAGTGTAGCTGCTCATTAAAGGAAAACAGAAAAGATTATACTGATGACTAGATGGTTTGAACGATGAGGAACATTTTTTATATCATTTTGATAAGTTTCTCTGCTTCATTGCATCACTCAGGCTTCCCTCTTCCGATGAGATGACCTGCCATGATATAACTGTACAGTTCTAATCGGCACTGAAGTCACTCACTCACTCTGAATAATCAAGTTACGCCTGTCAAAACGATTTTGTACCTTGTGCACTCTACCCTTATTTCCTGTTGGTGTTCAGTGCAATATGTTTAGGACATTTCATTTTGTTTTGAAACTTTAAAAGAATCCTTGGTCATCATTTTGTGAGCTGGGTACTTAAGACAACAAAACACCAAACAGGGTACATATCAAATACATCATGGTACCAAACAGTGATTCCCAAGGTCAAGGTTACCCCATCACCGGAGACATGGCTGCTATGTTTTAAGTAGAAGTGTACTGAGTCAAGAAACATTCATCTGGAGGTCATATCAATCATGTATCAATATGACTTTGTAACATATGATTTCCTGCTGTTATGTACAAGCCGTTTCCAAACACTATGCGCATGAAATTTAGGAACATAATTAAAATATAGATTTGTATGTCGCAGTGATAGTCATGGTCAACAAAGAGATAAATGAAAATTGTGTTAATGCATCGCCATTATGTTTTGGTATATACGCAGAGCCTATTTGCTGCGATATCTTTGTTTTTGATTCATGTTGAAATAGCCGCTCAATGTAGAGACAGTGTTCTGTCGTATTAAAATGGGATCAAGTTACTAGTTCTTGACTTGTTGCAAGCTGTCTCATACAGAACTGAGAACACTTGTAAGCGTTATGATTTCCTCACAATCTGTTGATCACAATTCAATTAGCATAGTGGTTAAAGTGTTCGCATGTCATGTGGAAGGCCTGGGTTCGATTCCCAACATGGGTAGAATGTGTAAAGCCCATTTCTGGTGTCCCCTGCGTGATATTGCTGGAATATTGTTAAAAGCGGCATAAAATCATACTTTAATTTTACAATATTTAGTTAAACTTCTTTCCCAGCTAAGAGATAAAAGTTTATTCACTAGTGATGGTATATAATTTGTTGATATATGGTCATTGAGACTGCAGCTTTGAATGTAGATATGTAGACTATCCAAACTTAAGAGTGTATTTGATAGGTAGTTGATTTCAGGATCATAGGAAAGAGAAATTCAGTTTGTGATAAGAGAAGGTGGTGACGTCCCTACGAAACTGAAGCTATGATGGCTGATGGGTCAGCAGTACTTGTGATAAAATATACTCAATATTTTAATTGAGAATGCTAGAGTTGATTTCTCTCTCTCTCATGTCCATGTTGCCTATCTCTGTAATGCTGAAGAAATCACATCATACACATTTGCTTGTGGATGTTTTTTTTATGAAATCAAGATACCAAAGTTTCCACTGATTAATGTTGAAGCATTTAGGGCATGTTGGAGCTAGTTGGTTTCACAATGGAAATGGTTACTTAAGATTAGTTGATAGCTATTACGTTTTAATATGTGAGGTGAGGTGAAATTGGGTTTAACGTCGTGCTTGAGAATATTTCGCTCATGTGACGATGTTTTAATATGTATTATTGAACTTTGTATATACTGATGTGATATATGCTCCACCATTATTTTCCAGCTTGTAGTCAATACATAATTATGAAACATTATTTTTCGCTATCATATATCCTTAAAGCACATTCTCATTATTTTCATATTTATCAGAGTATCATGAAGTGGTCATTTCATTGAGTTCATTACACGCTAAGTAATAAGTATTAGTTCATGAAACACTAATTAATAAATATTTTTGTTTCTATATATCTCGTTTGTTGTACTTCTGTAAATGTTCACCCGTGAAGAATTGATCTTCAGTAACCCATGCTTGTCGTTAGAGACGACTAACTGGTTCGGGTGGTATGGCTCGCTGACTTGGTTGATACATGTCATCATATCCCAATTGTGTAGACTGATGCTCATGCTGTTGATCACTTGATTGTCTGGTCCAGACTCGATTATTTACAGACCGCTGGAATATTACTGAATGTTGCGTAAAACTAAACTCACTCATTCTGTTCTGTAAATGTTCAGTGCTGGAACAAAATATTGAAGGGTCTTCATGGAGTGTCGTCAAAAGGCTTCCAGACCCATATTGTCATGTTACATGTAACATGAATTAACATGAATACATCTCTAGATGATTATGCTTTCACACCTCCCACAAGAGTGAGTTTTACGCAATTCCAGCAACATCACGGCGGGGGACACCAGAAATGGGCTTCACACATTGTACCCATGTGGGGAATCGAACCTGGGTCTTCGGCGGGACGGGTGAACGCTTTAGCCACTAGACTACGGTTGACTACCCCACTTCCGCCCTCCCACCAGAGTAACGCCACAGCAATCAAAGTTCTGATTGAAACAATATGTGTAGTATCATAAACAATTCTGTGAAACCTTTGGCTGTTTCTACATCCCAATGCCCTAATGGTCAGAACCAAATTTGACCACCAGTGTATTGTTTATTGCACACATTAGCTGACTAAAAATATGATTAGCTGAAAGGTCAAGGTCACTGAGGTCACAGAAGTATCCAATCACAGCTGTCAGATGATTCATTCTGCACTGAACCCACCCCTTAAAAAACTGCTTGTTAAAGTACAAGTTTTGATTTGGTGTAGTATAACCCGAGAGGACTTGTGGCCAATAATTTGTCGAGTGGTGGGGTAGCCTAGTGGTTAAAGCGTTCGCTGGTCACTCCAAAGACCCGGGTTCGATTCCCCCGCATGGGTACAATGTTTGAAGCCCATTTTCTGGTGTCCCCCGCCATGACATTGCTGGAATATTGCTAAAAGCAGCGTAAAACCAAACTCACTCACTTTCTCTAGGTCACTTATTTTGACATAATGTATTCTGTTTAAACTTTACATGACTGGCACTTGAAAATCCAAATAAAATATTTGTGTTTATCTGTCAAAATATCAAACATGAACCTCCAGCATCCTCAGTCATCCAAATCAATCCTGGGTTTAGTTCCACATTAAATAATATTGTAGTTACATGGGGGCATGTCAGCACAAAGTTGGATGAAAGACTTGTTTCAACAGTTAAAAATATATAGTTGGTAAATATCATCTGAAAGAGTGCAGTTACCTTAAACAAATGCTGAGTTATCGCTTTAGAGCCCCCTTATGGGCTAAAGCCATGGCTTTGGTTTGTAAGACTGAATATTTGTTATTCATGAGGCAATTTTTAGACAGAATAAATGTTCAAACCTTTTGGCCCCTCTTGGGACTAAAAAGCAAAACCAGATTATCTTGAAATATTAAGAGATGCAAATCCCTTATGTTTACCATGTACAGTGATGAGAATTTTCAAGAATCTGTGGAATTTCACAGATTCCATTGTGTCAAGGGTCATTTCTGTGCCTACATGCAGTTGTTATATACTTATAAAGTATTTCGTTGCACTTGTCAAAATACATCTTCAACAGTTCTTCCTACTGGGTACCCATTCACTGATGGTTAACAGAAGCACATTTTGACAGACGTATCCAACAAATCTTGACATCCCTTTCAAAAAACATCTTCCGTAAAATGAATTTTGAAAAGAAATCCCATTGTTATCCCATGAGCCCAAGTGTGGTGCTGAGCGAGGATGGCAGTTTACAGGAGCCACATATCAAGGAACAACATGAACAATATTGCATTAATAATGATTTTATTATAAAAACTTTTAAAATAATGTGATTAAAAATACATATGATACAATGTAGGTTGGATAAAATATTCAGCCTGTATAATGGTTCATCTAAAAAAAATACAATCTTTAGACAAAAATCGCATAAACAAACAACAGCAGCATTCGTAAAATGGACATGATCACATAACAAGGAACAACATGAACAATAATGCATTAATAATGATTTTATTATAAAAACTTTTAAAATAATGTGATTAAAAATACATATGATACAATGTAGGTTGGATAAAATATTCAGCCTGTATAATGGTTCATCTAAAAAAAATACAATTTTTAGACAAAAATCTCATAAACAACAGCAGCATTCGTAAAATGGACATCAGGCCATGGCAACTGAATCAAAATATATACTTCTCAACAAGAAACATTACTTCATGTTATGTAGAAACAAGCCTCATTCACAACCACTTGTACATTATGATAATATATCACTATTCTTACAGCGACACTGGTAAACAGGGTCCAACATATTATGGTCTAGGCAATATAGATGAAAGATAGGTTCATCTGCCAAATATTTCCCTAAAACTGACATTTAGACCCTGAAAAAAGAATTCTTATTTCACAATATAAAATAAAATATGACAGTCAAACATAAAGTACCACCATCAAGGAACATGACAGTCAAACTTCAGGTACCACCCTGAAAAACCATGACAGTCAAACTTCAAGTACTACCCTGAAAGACTGACTGACTGACTGAGTTTGGTTTTACACCGCTTTTAGCAATATTCCAGCAACA